CAAATCCCATATATGTCGACATGTGTGTAACTGCATCTATTGAAAAAAATCTGCATTATTACCCGGGGCACCTTGTGGCTTCTCTCTCAGTGAAACCCACCCTGGGAGAGGCTGGCCCCCGGCCAACCTTGTCCCCACGGCTCTGCTTCCTGCCGCCCTCCCTTCCCAGCAGCCTCCTCGCCCTTGGCGTTGAGCCAGGGGTGGAGTGGGATGGAGGGAGGCAGGGGAGTGCCTGGAACAGATCACACCCATCTAATCAGGCCCTGAGGGCTGCACCGTGTTCTGCCAACCAGGATGCCCTGATTACGCTGGAGAGCGGCTAAGAGAGTCTAACTTTCAGAACCTGCGGGGCCTGGGCTCCAGCCCTGGGCTCAGCACTGGGTGGGCGACCTGGAGCGGTCACTTCATGTCACCGGGCCTGTCTCTTCCTCAGGAAAAGGAGGCAAATGGGATGGATCTCCTGGGGTCGCTGTGAAGAGTGAGTGAGGTCGTGCCTGTGCAGTCGGCACCATGGGGCCTGGCACAGAGCTAGAGCACTTCACATTTTAAAAAATGTTCTGAGTTGTGGTGAAAAGCATACCCTACTTTTGTCCCATCTCGTGTAATAAAAAATAAATAAATAAATAAAATAAAAAGACTGGAAACTGACCAAATGTCCAGATATCAGAATGCTCAGAGAGACTGTGCCACGTTCCCACCAGAGAATATCCTTCAGCAATAAAAACAAACAGCAGCAGCATTGCTGAAAGCCACCACCCAAAACCCAGCCAAAGGAGCCCAGCCCGGCCGGTGTGGTTCAGCGGTTCAGCTTCGACCTGGAGGTCATGATTCTATTCCCAGTCAGGGCCCTATTTTGGGCTTGATTCTGGGGGGTAGGATTGGGGGTGGCAATGCAGGAGGCAGCCAATCAATGATGCTCTCTCATCATTGATGTTTCTCTCTCTCTCCCCCTCTCCCTTACTCTCAGAAATAAATAAAAATTATACTTTAAAAAAGATGCACAAAAGCTAATCAAATAGTATATACATTAGGTAGGCAGAGCAGGGGAAAAGAAACACACAGTCTAGGCGGGGGGCTGGCCGGAGCGACACAGAAGCATTGCTTGCGTCCTTGAACTTAAACGAATGGGGGCTCATGGGCGTTCATGCTATCATTACACGTCATAATCTCAACATGTGTTCCACGTACTCTCTCACGTGGATTACATACAACGTGATAAAGGGGCTTTGTAAACTGGCTCTAAGCGAACTCATTCGTCCACAGAGCCAAATATCAACAGCACAGCGATTGGCATGTCTTTGGAGAGCCACATTTTTTCAACTTAAACTTCTAACGCCACTTCTTCAACATAGACTCGCCCAGGCCGTGGTATTTTGTGGAAGAGCCACGCTCCAGGGGCCAAAGAGCCGCACGTGGCTCTCGAGCCGCCGTTTGCCGACCACAGCTCTAAGCTACTGCGCAGCGGCTCCCAGCTTAGGGAGCGCTGATAGGAAACTCCGTCATCTGCTTATTTGGGAAGAATCTGAAGGAGCAGGCGAGTCCTTACAAACAGTCTGGGCACACAACCCGGGAGGGAGGGAGGTGGGGGAGGGTGTGTGTGCGTGAGGGGAGGCACAGAGAGATCCGGACAAGAGGAAGCTTGGCCAGGGTGTGTGTGTGTGTGTGTGTGTGTGTGTGTGTGTGTATAGAGATGGGGGGGGAGGGTAGTTGCAGCTGAGCCAGCTCCCAGCTCCCAGAGAGCGAACCGGCCTGCGCCCTCCCGCGCTTTGGCCCGAGTCAGACAGACACGGGCCATCTATTATACATTTCCAGAAGGAAACAGAGGTGCCATCACTCAGGGATGGGGTCCCCAGAGAATACTGCAGGCAGTCTCCCCCAAACCAGTTCGGTTCTCTTGCTCTGGCTCCAAGTCCATGTGCACCGCGGGGGCCTGAGGCCAGGACCGCCTTCCGGAGATTTGTTCGGGGCGATGGGGTCCCCGGGGATCTGGTCACACGGCGTGAGGAGGCCCGGAGGCGGGGACCTGAGCTGTCCCTGAGCATCTTCGCGTCCCTCAGCCCAACACGCTCTCCACGGATGGGCACGCTCACCCGAGGCACCTTTTTAAAAATATATATTTTATTGATTTTTTACGGAGAGGAAGGGAGAGGAATAAAGAGTTAGAAACATCAATGAGAGAGAAACATCGATCAGCTGCCTCCTGCACACCTCCTGCTGGCGATGTGCCCGCAACCAAGGTACATGCCCTTGACAGGAATAGAACCCCAGACCTTTCAGTCCACAGGCCAACGCTCTATCCACTGAGCCACACCGGTTTCGTCAAGTTCTTTGAAAATAAGCACAGTGCCTGGCCGGGGCGGCTCAGTGGGTTGGAGCGCCCTCCACAGGGCACCGAAAGGTTTCGGGTTTGATCCCCGGGCAGGATGTGTGCAGGAAGCAGCTGATGAATGTTTCTCCCTCTTCTTCTCTCTCCCTTTTTCTTTCTCTTCCGATTTTTAAATGTTTTTATTGATTTCAGAGAGAGGAAGGGAGAGAGAGAGAGAAACAAACATCAATGATGAGAGAGGCTCACTGAACAGCTGCCCCCTGCAGGCTCCCTGCTGGGGACGGAGCCCTGATTGGAAATCAAACTGTGACCTCATGGTTCATGGACCCATGCGCAACCACTGAGCCACCCTGGCCGGGCTTTAAAAACAAACAAACAAAAGATTAAAAAATATGCACATAAAAAAAAAAGGAGCACATTACTTAATATTTACCCGGAATCTTGGCTAAAGCAGTGAGTGTGTGGGCAGGAAATGCTAAGTTAGAAAATGACAGTGTCTTTTGAGAAGTTATTAAAATGTTTCACTCCTGAACCTAAGAGGCAGCCAAGTGCCAAGTCCTCTTGTTCCCGTTAAGATAAGGCCGCTCTCCGGGAACGGCTGTGGTCTCTGTCCCTCCTGCGACTCTGGCAGTGACTAAACGAGGCCATATGTTGGCTTCAATACCGGCTTATATCTCAGAGAGGAAGGAAGGAGAGAGAGAAACAACAATGGTGAGAGAGCATCATGGATCGGCTGCCTCCCGCACACCCCTCCATGGGGATGGACCCACAACCTGGGCCTGTGCCCTGACTGGGAATCGAACCGTGGCCTCCTGGCTCACAGGTCGAAGCTCAACCACTGAGCCACGCACACTGGCTGGACTCATCACGCTTTTCCTTCACTAAGTCTCACCCTTCTCTCCCCGGCTGCAGTGGAATCTGTACTCCTTTGCTGTTCTCTTGCTTTTCTGCATCCAAAACAAACCCAGCGAAGAAATTTATCTGCCAAAAGGGAGCCATGCGAATCACGTAGGAGCCACATAAACGTCTTTCTTCCAGGGCGATAGGGAGCAGAAAACATCACCAAGAGCTAAAACCGGGCGCTTTTGGGGTTTTGTTTGAATTGGCGGGAGGCGGGCAAGGGCTCTCTGGCTCTGTGTGTTCTCTCTGCGGCCGCGGCTTCTTAGGAACAGTTAGCTGTAACCGGGCGCTATTTTCGGAGCTGCGCTGACACTGGTTAGTGACGTTGGCGTGGAAAGCCGTGTTCCTGTGAAACTCCTCTAGACACCCAGAGAATCAGCTGGGCTGTGCCAGGTGGGAAAGGGGAGGAAGGCATGGCCTGCTTCCCGAGAGAAGAATGCTGAAAGGTTTAAGGCAAATCAGAGGCCCTTCTCTGCCCGATGCAAGTAACGGGGCAGTTTCATTGTCAGGGGAATGCAAATATCCTTTCCCTCCTCCAGCTTAGCAGCAGCTTGCTCCTGGGGAGGCACCTCGTTGGCCCCAGTCACCCACCCTTAGGCAGGGAATCCTTTCCGATAAGCTCAACTTCATCTTTAAAAAAATATATATATATTTTTATTGATTTCAGAGAGGAAGAGAGTGATAGAAACATCGATGAGAATTATGGATTGGCTGCCTCCTGCACGCGCCCCTTTCCCCCCATTGGGGATGGAGTCCACAAACCGGGCATGTGCCCTGACTGGGAATCGAACCGTGACCTCCTGGTTCATAGGTCGATGCTCAACCGCTGAGCCAGGCCAGCAACGATGAGCTTAACATCTGGAGTTAACGTAGGGAAGGCGGATGCTCTGCTTTGCTTCAAAAAACGATAGCACGCTAACTGCAACGCCGGACTGGATTCTGGAACAGGAAACGGACATGAGGGTGAAATCTGGTGACGTCCGAATGAAGCCTGTGGCGTGGTGAAGCGTTTGATGCCCGGGTGTGATGTGATGGGGAGAGCCGGGGAGGGGTATGTGGGAACGCCCTGTGCTATCTTCACCACGAACGGTTCCAGAAATCCAGACTTATCTTCAAATAAAGCTTAATGGAATGGTGCTCCCTGTAGTTGACTTGACGTTGACCTCTGGCTTCTGGGGGGGCCTCCTCCGCACCGTCCTTCAGACCCCGTCCCCGGCGACAGGAGGGATGCTCACGACTAGAGCAGCGGTTCTCAGCCTGTGGGGGTCGAACGACCCTTTCACAGGGGTCCCCTAAGACATCCTGCGTATCAGATGTTTCTGTTATGATTCATAACAGCAGAAGAATCACAGTGATGAAGTAGCAAAGAAAATTTTATGGTTGGGAGTTCACCACAACGCGAGGAACTGTACTCAAGGGTCGCGCCACTGACCTAGAGGGAGGTTAGTTGACAGGGAACAACTCAATGCTTCTCTCCCTGTCTCCCCTTTCCTTTTTCTCTCTAAAACCAATCAACACGTTTAAAAATGCCTAAAATCAATCTAAAAATCAATCAACACGTTTACAAAATGCCATGGTCGCCATGCAAGCCCCACCTCTGTAGGACACAGCATTTCCCTACTTATGAATCGTGTGCAAACAAGAGAGCAGTTGCTAAAACATGACTCTCTCCGGGCATTTTTGTCAAATCCGATCACAGACAGAAGCCTGGGAGGGTCTACCTTATCAGCTGAAATACTCGAGTGACGGAAAGAGAGCTCACATACAGACTGTATCCACGTGCAAAGCGGGTCATTTATTTAGCACCGAAATCAAACGATAAAAACACGGGATCCGTCCTAAAACAGGCGTTTTAAAAGCCCTCCTGCCATTCTAAGCTGGCACGGAGACGTCTGCCGTCTGGGTGCCCGACCTCCTCGTGTCCGGCGACAAAGGCAGTTTCCCCGGTCGTGGGGGTGCGGTGCGGTGGGGACCGCCGCCCTTCCAGCAGGCTGGGGGCCCCAGGATGGCCGTCTCCTGCTCAGCCCGAGGCTCCCGCCTGGATCTCCAGGGCAAGTTTTGCTTAGATTCTCAGGAGCCGCTCGGGAAGCCTCGGTGTCAAGGTGTGCAAAATGGACTGAAGAAAACACCTAACTACAGCCTCATGCCCACTGCCATTTGGCCTGTAAATACGCTCTCCAACAGGGGCTCCTCCTGACCAGCTCCCCCAAAGTCCCGGTTTCTCGGAGGAAGGGCTGGTGAGCACAGGTTATGGACTATGCTGCCACTGGACCACTGACAGCTTTTCCAGAGCGGGAATGGGATCACTGAGACGCTGTACGGATCTCCGTGCAACCACTGCCCCTCGAGGTAGAATTCCGTGAATTCCTGGTCACCATGGAGGAGGCATCGTCTCTTCTTTAGTAAAACCCACACCATTCGCCTGCCTTTCCCGTTTCCTTCCTTATTCTCTCTCTTTTAAAAAAAAAAAATATTTTTATTGATTGCAGAGAGGGAGATGGCGGGGGCGGGAAGAGAAAGATCAATGATGAGAGAGAATCACTGATTATCTGCCTCCTGCACGCCCCCACCTGGGGACTGGAGCCTGAAACCCCCAGCCTGAGCCCTGAACCAGGCATCGAACTGCGATCTCCTGGTTCGTAGGTCAATGGTCAACCACTGAGCTACGCTGGCTGGCGTCAGGGCTGTTTGTGGAAATTGGGGCAACTCCCCACAGGCAGGGGGCAAGCGATATGTACACGTCCAGCATCCTGGCGGTGCACAACCAGGAAGAGGAAGGAATTCTGCACAAGAGGACATTCCGAGAACAGACCCGGATGGCTCTGAGCGAGGGGTAGTGGGCATCCCGGGCTGGCAGGTCCCTCCCTTCCAGGCACAAGGGCTCCAGTGCCAACTCTCCTGCAGCACAGGTCTTCCGGTCTTTATGGGCCAAGGGCTTGGTGGCTCCTCAGCAGGGAGGGACCGTCCCGGAAGGCTTCCAGGGCCAGGGGCCTCCCCCAGCATGTCCCAGCCCAACCCGATGGCGCCGCCCCAGAGGCGGCTGCAGGGAAGGAGCCATTGCCAAGGCCGTCAGTTCTCCGTGTCGGTGAGCTTCCTCTTCTTGTAGCTCTGGACCAGGCTGGACGCCCTGATCTGGGAAGCCTGCCCCTTCTCCCAGCACTGGAAGTCGTTCAGGCCTCGCTGCCCCGCCTGGAACAAGCCCCGCTCCATCTCGTCCAGCCGGGCGACCAGGGCCGAGGTGTCCTCGTTGTACGCGTTCTGGGAGGAGTCCATGATGCGGCGAAAGCGTCCGATAAATGTCTGGAGGGGGAGGGAGCGAGAGAAACCAGAGCCGCTTTTTAACTACGTGTATGTTTTCATTGGTTTGAGAGAGGAGAGGGAGAGAGAGTCACCAATGAGGTCTGCTCAGAAAAGCTTCAAAAGCTCAACCTGCCGGGACCGGTTTGGCTCAGTGGATAGAGTGTCGACCTGCGGACCGAAAGGTCCCGGGTTCGATTCCGGTCAAGGGCATGTACCTTGGTTGTGGGTACATCCCCAGCGGGGGGTGTGCAAGAGGCAGCTGATCGATGATTCTCTCGCATCGATGTTTCTAACTCTCCATCCCTCTCTCTTCTTCTCTGTGAAAAATCAATAAAAATATATTAAAAAAAAAAAAAAAAAGCTCAACCTGTCTATGTCTGTGCATTGACTTCTTTTTCTGAGAGGATGGCAACAGTTTTTTGTATTTTCTTTTTCTCAAAAACTTTATTTTATTGATTTTTTTACAGAGAGGAGGGGAGAGGGATAGAGAGTTAGAAACATCGATCAGCTGCCTCCTGCACACTCCCCACTGGGGATGTGCCCGCAACCAAGGTACGTGCCCTTGACCGGAATCGAACCTGGGACCCTTGAGTCTGCAGGCCGATGCTCTATCCACTGAGCCAAACCGGTTAGGGCTGTTTTCTTTTTTTTAACTATCACATGAGAAACAGCGCTGGTAAATGTCAGGCCAAAGACCTTCACGCCCCATGGAGGGTGTCAGCACAGCCCAGGTGACAGTGTGTTCTTATTAAGCCAGAAACGAGGAAGTAAAACAACAGGTAGAGAGGGTGGTTTCTTCTAGTTTTAACAGAATGACGTAAAAAGTAATCACGGAAGTTAAAGTAAGGTTATTCCAGCATAAAGGAGGTAACATATGGATAACACTGTTTTGTCCATTGATAACGATAATAGTTACCATTTATTAAATGACTCCACATACGCTCACTACGATTCTGCATCTTTGGCACTATTTTTTTTTTAAAATATATATTTTATTGATTTTTTTTTTACAGAGAGGAAGGGAAAGAAATAGGGAGCCAGAAACATCGATGAGAGAGAAATATCAATCAGCCGCCTCCTGCACACCCCCTACTGGGGATGTGCCCGCAACCAAGGTACATGCCCTTAACCGGAATCGAACCTGGGACCCTTCAGTCCGCAGGCTGACGCTCTATCCACTGAGCCAAACCGGTCTTGGCTCTTTGGCACTATTTTCATCCCCTTTTACAGGTGAAGAATTGATGCCTAGAGAGGTCAAATAGCTTGACCAAGTCCCGTTTGGAGCAGAGCCAGGCCTTAACCCCAGAGCAAGAAAAGGGAACAAATAACCAAATACCAGATGTATTTGCGGGCAGGAACCTTCAGACCTTCGGCCCAGGGCTGGGCTGTGACTGTGTACTTAAGTGCCTGACGCCTGCAATCAACCATCACCTCTTATTTCCAGGACTTTCTGCTACCACCCAACTCTTAGCAGTAGACAAGTCCTATTTAAGTGTGTGTGTGTGTGTGTGTGTGTGTTTGGCAGATGGAGTCTAACTGTTGGCTGGCCTAGAATAATAACATACCCATTGTATATGCCATAAATTCCCCTGGGTCAGAGTGATGTCTGGTGGCAGCCAAAGCTGGCTCTTGAGGCATGTGCGGTGCCACAGGTTTCCACAGCAATTACTTGCCTGGAGGAGAGACTGGGAGATGTCTGTGTTCTCTGGGCTGTCAAAATGCAGGAGCTGGGAGCCAAACCCGTAGAAGTGGGGCCCCATTTTGTGGAGGTCCACCACGTTGGCATCTGCACTGAACACAGTCCTCCAACCCTCTCGGTAGATCTTAGGAAGGTCCACAGAGAGGATCCGCCGCTTGTTGTCAAAAAGTCCTTTGGCCAGCCACAACGGGAGCTCCAGCTTTGAGCCCTGCGTCAGACAGGAAGGGAGATTTGAAGAATGATGACAAAGTCAATGTGTGTGTGTGTGTCAAAAAAGGAAAATGTGCATTGCGTGAGCAATACTGCCTGTTCTCTTTGGGACACACGTGTATGTGAAGTCATATAGCCCCAGGTTCGAATCCCAGCTCACCACCTACAGCGGGACCCTGGCCAAGCTTCCAAAACTTCTCGGGGCTTCAGTTTCCTTGCATGTAATAATGCCTCGTTACAAGGTTCTTGAGGAATTAAAGAGCTAATACATAGAAAAATACACTCTCCCCACCCCATCCAGGCTGGCACCAAAGCCCTCAGGCAATGGTTGCTGATACCATCATCATGATGCAGGGAAGAATCTAGCAATGGGTAGGTCCCAGACGCATGACATGCTCTTCCAGAACCCAAAGCTGTTGTTTTTCAGTATAGGAGCCAATCCCAAGGCATGTTGAGGGTAAGGGAAAGAGAAAAAACACTGCTGAATTTGTAGTTTCAAAAAATGAAATCCGTGTTGGAGGGAGCCTGACTACCTGGGATAAATTTAGTCTCCGTACAAGTGGCCCGAGCTAGGGGAGGAGACCACCGCAGACAGACTGCTAGGCGAGTACGACCCCCTTATCTGTCCCTAAAACTACAAATCCCAGAAGGCCGGCGCGCCCGGAGAGACGCGCAACCCCAGGGTCGCAAGGCCCCCTGGGAATTGTAGTCTTCCCGAGCAGGGCCGAGCCAGGTGGGAGGCTTACCTGAGGGATGGTGTTGTCGGTGTCGGCCCCTCCGCTCCGCTCCGGGAAGAAAAGGCCGAGGCGTGGAATGGGGATTTCCGTGCGCACCGGGAGCTTCTCGTGGGACATCAAGATGTCGTCCAGGGAAAGAAAGTTCTCCTCGTGCCCCAGCGCACCCGACTCCACCCGGAAGTAAGCCTCGGACATGGCTGCGGGCTTGGGCTGCTTCGCTTCCACGCGTGTGACTCGGGAGACCTCAGGGAGCCAGGGACGCAAAGGAGAAATAAGCCGAGGCTGGTCGGGATTGTGCGGGTTGAATGGATCGCTACGGCCGCCCAGCCGGAGGGAAACTGTTTTCCCGCGCCCGGGGCGGGCCAGGCCGGAGCAGTCGATCGGAGAGCCGGCCTAGGCAGAAGCAATCGATCGGGTCTAGTCCCGGGCGGGGCGGGGCGGGGGCGCGGGCGCTGGGAGAGGGTCCGATCTCTCAAGTTTTCTCGCGAGCGTAGCCCAGAGGAAACAGAAGCTGGGGATGCCTGTGAAAGCTGCAGGATGCGGTTGCACTAGAATAGGTTGTGTTTATGGGGTCCTGTCAATGTGTATATGAAATGAAGAACCCTGTACGCGTTTGGGAGCCTAAAGAAAGGCGGCCTGGAGCCCTCCATCCCAGGCCTGACCCCATCAGACCTGCTGACCGGTGTTGTCACTGTGCATCTAAGACTTTTTTATTTATTTATTTGTTTGTTTGTTTGTTTATTTATTTATTTATTTAATATATTTCTTTATTGATTTCAGAGAGGAAGGGAGAGGGATAGAGAGATAGAAACATCAATGATGAGAATCATTGATAGGCTGCCTCCTATACACCCCCTACAGGGGGGGTCGAGCCCGCAACCCAGGCATGTGCCCTTGGTCGGAATCGAACCTGGGACCCTTCCGTCTGCAGGCCAACGCTCTGTCCACTGAGCCACATGAGCTAGGGCATCTTCGTGACTCTTGTTGTGCGAAGGAAACTGGCAGGCTCCTTGTATGGCTCTTAACGTAAATCCTTAAAAGAGGGACTCCGATTGGGTCAGTGCCTCTTTTGGAGGCAGAGCGCCAGGGTCATGGCTCGCCAGCCACCCTGTAGATTGGGCACCTGTGTCAGGTACCAGCTGGTCTGGTGCGGGCAGGGAAGGGGTCGTGGGCCCAGACCTGGGGGTGCTACTCAGTCAGGGCTACATGGGGTGGCAGCATGTGGAGAGAGGCACTGCAGAGCTGTTTTCCCATGAAAGGCCATTTTGCTGGGGCCACTAGGAGTGAGCAAAGGGTTCATGGGAAGAGAGATGTGTATTCATGTTTTTACACTTTTTTTCTGTCTTGTGTACTCTGACATCTCAGAGTCTTGGGGCCCTCAGGCTGAACTGCCCCTCCCCGGATGAGCTAATTGGTAGAGTCACAAGCACCTTGCCTGCAAATTTGCCTTTCCTATTCAAGCCCACCAATCCGAAGTCCGTCTACTAAGGCACATGTGTCAAACACAAGGCCCGCGGGCCAAATCCGTTCCGCTAGGCCTTGCAATGTGGCCCGCACCGCGCTGTCATCACTGCACTCCGCTGCGTTTCCATCACAATGACAGTTTATGACTGTTCAGTAAACCATTCGGCCCGCGATTTAGGCTGGATTTTAGATTTTGGCTCCTTCTCTGATTGAGTTCGACACCCCTATACTAAGGTGACCAGATGTCCCGCTTTTGGTGGGACAGTCCCGATTTTTAACCATTTGTCCCGTGTCCCACGGTGTTTTAAAAAAGACACAGGACAAATGGTTAAAAATCGGGACTGTCCGCCGGGACCGGTTTGGCTCAATGGATAGAGCATCAGCTTGGGGACTGAAGGGTCTCGGGTTCGATTCCGGTCAAGGGCATGTGCCTTGGTTGCGGGCATATCCCCGGTGGGGGGTGTGCAAGAGGCAGCTGATCGATGACTCTCTCTCATCGATGTTTCTAACTCTCTCTCTCTCTCCCTTCCTCTCTGTATAAAATCAATAAAATATATTAAAAAAAAAATCGGGACTGTCTGGTCACCTTACCATATCTAAACCCCTTCCTTTATCTAAGTCTTTAAGGTTCCCTGGCCCTAAATCACCCCAAGGTCAAGTGCTGGACAATTAGAGACCACCTTGACCACCCAGAGTCCAACGTTATTAAACCGTGCAGACCTCCACTTGCTCCCACTTGCCTACGCCGCCTCGTCCGCTCCCTCCCCGAGAAACCACACCAAGGGTTCCGGGCCACGGTCTCCTTCGGACGACCATGGCCATCACCTCCATAATGAAGGTCACCTCCATGATCGGAGTCCGGGATCGTCACCACAGGGTCTTGGGGAAGCCAGGGCCAAAGCGGGGGGCGCCGTGGTGCTGTCACTCCGAGGCGGCGGGGCTGATCCGCGGGAAATGGAAGGAAACGCGTGGAGCGTTGGGACGGGTACTGACCGGAGGCCGAGCTCGGGGAAGGGAAGTCCGGCCGTGCGGAGAAGGGAGAGACGATGCGGGCAGACGGCTGTGAAGCTGCTCCGTGGGCAGCACCTGGCAGCGGATTGGATGTAGAAGGGAAGGATCGAGAGGGGGCCAGGGTGACGCGAGTGCTTAATCAGGTTGGCAGGTGGGTGAAGGTGTTAGTAACAGGTGCACAGGGCACCGGAATAGGGGCGGAGTGAGGCAGAAGAGGCGTTCAGTTCGGCATTCTTGGAGTCCAGGAGCCGCTGGGCAGGCGGGTCGGCAGCCCCGTGGAGACACCAGCCTGGAAGTTAGGAGGCATCTATTGAGAGGCAGTTACATGAGAGTTTCTGCTTTTACCATATTTAAGCTAATTTTTTATCCTCACCTGAGGATCTGTTTATTGATGAGAGAGAGAGAGAGAGAGAGAGAGAGAGAGAGAGAGAGAGAGAGAGAGAGAGAGAGAGATACATTGATCGACTGCCTCCCTACATGCCCTAATCAGGGACTGAACACACAACCCAGGCATGTGCCCGGACTGGGAATCGAACCTCTGCCGCCTTCTGGTGTACAGGACGACACAACCTGGGCCTGTGCCCTGACTGGGAAATCAAACTGTGACCTCCTGGTTCACAGGTCGATGCTCAACCGCTGAGCCACCCTGGCCAGGCAAGTATTTATCGTTATTTTTAAAAAATCTTTTTTCCTTCCCCCTCCTCCAGCGCACCAAAGATCTAAGCTATTCCAGGCCTGAGAGATGCTCAGAGCTGTGAGCGCTCAGCTGCAGGGAAGCCGCTGCAAATAGAACACAACACCCCCCACGCCCACTGTTCTGGGTCTGTCACCCAACAAGCCCTGCTGCCGAGGGCGGCCATGAAGCCTCCGTGGCTGAGCTGACAGCAGTTCCAGAAAAACGGGTTCAGTGCCAGAAACTGAGCATTCGGGTTTCCTGCAAGCAATGCAGCGTGAATATATATATATATATGAGAGAAAATCGATACCTTTGGCAGCTAGCACATTTAGAAATAATGCACAAAACACTAGGGAAGCAACAAGTCTCAGGTTTACAAAAACTGCCTGGTTTTTATTTGTAATAAATATATTTTATTGATTTCAGAAAGGAAGGGAGAGTGGGAGAGGGAAGGAGGGAGGGAGGGAGAGAGAGAGAGAGAAGAGCTTCAATGACGACAGAATCATTGATCGGCTGCCTCCTGCACGCTCCCCATTGGGATTGAGCTTGAAACCCGGGCATGTGCTCTGACTGGGAATCGAACTGGTGACACTCCTGGTTCATAGGTCACCACTCAGCCATGGAGCCATGGCGGCCGGGTTGTCTGTCCTTGGTTTTCATTTGAGCTGTGGTTGAAGGGCGGCCCCCTGTAGAGAAATGGCCCTGGACTCGGGGAGCATGGAGGTTTGGGGAAGTGAGCAGCCAGCCGCCGGGGCCTACCTAGCAATGGCCGGGTATGCTTTGTGTTGGTTTAGGGGTTAAAGCCCTCCTAAAAGGTGCTGGTGGGTGAGCCTTCGTGATGTGTTGGTGTTGCTCCGAAAATTTCGTGTCTCTCTTCCTAATTTTAGAGCCAGCAGCTGGCAGGGCTGTGTGCTCACAAGTGGGTAGTTTTCCATTCCTTCGTTTACTCGGATTCCCTTAATATGTTCGATTTCCGCGAAAATTTTAACTTGGTCTTCTCACTTTGTCAGCCCCTAGACTATGTGCATGTCATATTGTCTCTCATTTCCTAGTTTGTCATTTCTGTCATTGCAACATTGCTTTAAAATTTTTTTTTAAATATATTTTTATTGATTTTAGAGAGGGAGAGAGAGAGAGAGAAACATCAGTGATGAGAGAGAATCATTGATGGGCTGCCTCCTGCAGGTCCCCTACTGGGGATGGAGCCCATAATCTGGGAATGTGTCCTGACCGGGAATCGAACCCTGACCTCCTGGTTCATAGGTCGACAGACACTCAGCCACTGAGCCACACTGGCCGGGCTCATCATTGCTTTTAAAATAATTAAAAGCTTCTCTTCTTCAGACACAAGGCATCACAGTTTATTTCACCTTCTCACCCTCTGCCTATATAATTAAACACTCTTACATCATTTGATAGACCGGTTTACCACACCATGTTCTGTAGGATATGGCATTCAATGTCTTTCATCTTCATAAACAGGAAGCTGCTTTTTATTTGTTTCTTAGTTGCCTATTTATTTTTTAGGGCCCCATGGATGCTCCTAGAATTCTTTGGGGGGTGTTTTACAGGAGGTATCATAACTTTATTTTTCTATTATAATTTTTTTATGGTCTGGATTTTTTTTTTAATTTTGTTTTATTTATTTATTTATTTCAGAATTACTCAGCTGGAAAGGAAGGGGCTAATGGGCTAATGCTTGAAATATTACAAAGTAAAAAAATTCTAAAAATGTTTTGTAAAAAGATTATGCCTAATGATCTCCCGGTCATAAAGATAGCGCTGATAGTAGAAACGTTGCTACCTACAGATGAAGGATATCTTACACTTGTTTTTCTCGAACTCTGATAGCTTGCAACATCAAGAAGAAAGAAAAAAGTCATTTTGATTTTCCTCTCCAACTTCTAAAATGTGACTGAGTCCTGGCTGGTGTGGCTCGGTTGGTTGAGCGTGGTCCCATGCACCAAAAGGCTGTCAGTTCCTGTAGGGGGCGTGCAGGAGGCAGCCGACCAGTGTCTCACACATTGAAGTTTCTCTCTCTCCT